GACAAACGATTTGGCAAGTGAAGAATTGGCCTCGAGAGGACTCAGTGAAAATTGATTGTGACAATTTTTCGCCAAAAAGGACAAGGGTTTCTATGTGACAGGTATATTCGTTGATGCAGTACCTTCGATGTGGTATAAAATTTTCACACAAAGCGGTAAATATTTGAAATAAATCGGATATTTCGAACTATGATAGAGAAAGCATTCAATTTTATGCAAATAATGGATTACTTCTTACTAGGCCTCATATATATATGTAAGCTTTCCATTATAGAAAATAGACATATTATTTTAAATTTGTTTGTCCATATTTTAGGAAGTGAGTAAACACTTTCCCTTTCTCGGATTTGATATTTTTTTTGTGTAACTGGGTCATGAGAACACACAATATCGACAAAATGTTACACAAAATAATACCTCCCGATTTCCCCAGACCAGTTGTTGTAAATAATAAGATTTTTAGTTTATTTGTGACGGATATTTTTTTTTATTTTATTCAATAAAATACATTTACTAGTGAAAAAAAATTAAATATTTATATTATATAATTGCTTAACAACATCGTTTCATATAACATATATGTATACGTGTATGTATGTGTATGATATATAGAAAATACGAACTAATTAACTACCGCTTATTTTTCATTATTTTTTAATTACTCTGTTCTAAAACATTTCCACACATATTTACCTATGAATATTAGCACGCTTTAATTATTGTTTAATCACGAGAATTTTCATTATCACATTTCGGGCGATAAAACAAGCAAACAAGTGAATGTTTATTTTCTGTTGAAATGTATGTATGTAGGTACATGTGTCTGCATGCTATAGCTAAAGCTTATTTTCACACCTTTGTATTAATTTTGAATATTTTTTATTTTATTTTATTGTTAGTTTGTGATTTGCTAACGGTATTTAGTATTTTTTCTACTTTTTTTTTGGTTTTGTGTTTATTATTTTAACATCCTTTGCTATTTTACACTGGGAAAATAATAAATAATGGCAATAAATGAAAGTGCATTTGTTGTTTTTGTTTTTTCCCTTTTGTAATATGCACATGTTTGACAATATGTATGTAAGTAATTTCTAAATCGATAGAAATTGCTTTATGTTGCTCACGCACTTGTTGTCTGAATATGAACAAATGTATGAATGTAATTAAGTGTATATACAAATATATATATATATATATGTATATGTATATATTTCACACACCCACCCACATAGCTCTCGCCTGCTTTGTCAACGTTATAATAAATTTAACGATCAATTAGCGCAGCGCATTTAATGACATTTTCAATTGCTTTTAGCAGAGTTCAAGCTCAGTGCAGGCAACGCAACCGACGCTCAGCATTACAGTCCACCTCCCTCCAAACATCTTCCATTCGACATTCTTTAGCTTCCATATCAATATCTTCAGCTTCATATGCGTACGAGTATAACCAAACGTATATGTATGTGTGTCTATATATATATTCGCCTTCTCCTATATATCCCCTCCCCTTGCCTGGAGAGATTAAATTACACACATCACTCTCATTGGCTGGCTTAACAAGGCATCTATCGAGTGTCGGTCACACGCTCATGTCAGTCTTTGGCGGTAAAAATCATAAACTTAATGATTTTATTATAAGTTTTATTTTCATTTACTACATTTGGTTTATGTGCCAGCTATGTGTGCCGGATATTAGTGTGAATAATTTTATGAAGTCAAACGTTCAATTTGTATGGTGCAATGCTTGATGTTGTATTTGTGGCCACAGGCTACTTGTGTGGCGCGTTGCAGCACCGTATTGCTGTCCGATAGGAAATCTGTGAATGAGAGATATAATGAAAATTTAATACTAGTCATTGGCGAATGAAAATGTCTATATGTATGTATGTATGTATGTATGGACTGCAGGTGATTGAATTAAAAGATTTAAAACAGTATTAAGTGAGTACGTGATTTGCTAAAGAGAGAGAGGATATACGAGTATGTTAGATTAGGTAATTAAGTGCAAAATAGAAATGTTTACTATGGCACTCAATGATAAATATTAGATTCGCAGCTTCCTTAAGCACCAATCAAAACGGAAGAGGCGTTACTCAGTTATTTTAATAAACTTTGAGAAAACTAAGAACAACCTACCGTGCTGCAGCTCCGTTCAAAGCTCTCAACAACAACTCGGTACAAGGGAATTATGAAACGGCATTTTACAAGTAAATTTTTATATATAAAAATGAATGTCTCTATCAAACGCTAAAGCTCGAGAACGGCTGAACCCATGATTCAGTTTTCGACACTCCCCTAAAAATGGATGCCTTATGGAAGGTAGTAGGAAGGTTTCTCTATTACTATTAAAAAAAAAAAACAAAGATAAAAGGGAGCAAAAAAGGAGTTAAAAATTAAGAGAAACAGTAAGTTATTTACATGGTATTTATTATATTTCATTCATTTTAAACACGAATCGAATAGCTTTGAAATTAAATTTTAAATATTTAAAAATGATATGAAAATCCATACTGTAAGAATGCATGGATGTGCAAAAGTATAAAATTATAAATAGTAAAAATACTTTTGATTGGTTAAATTAGAAAAACTTGCCATCATAGCAAAAAATGTGTTTAGTTGAGTAATTTAAGCCGCTATCCAACTGGTTGATGTCCATATAAAACTCGATAAGGACTTTTAAATCCTTCCCTATTTCCTATTAAAGGCTAGCATCACCGTTGTCCAAGAGGTACGATGGACAGGACAAGAACAAAAGCGAGTAGGTTCTTGTGACATTTACTACAGCGGCTTTATAAAGAGCGCAAATTTGGTTTAGGAAATGTGCTGGGAGATTAACCTCTCCCAACAATTCGTAAATTTTCAACACGGAAAAGGACGATGTGATCTTTACGTTGTGCTTTGCTACTTCAACGTCAGGTTGGGCAAACATGATATCTTTTGTCTGAAAACTCAGCCTCAACAAGTGGGTTGAGACTAATCGACGTCGACGGAGCCCGAAATATGGTTTTCTATAGTAGTCCATTCCAGAATAAGTAAATTCATCAAGATACTTATTTGTCTCCAGATCGAAAAACCCATACCATATCGATCATGTTGTGATAGACGAAAGACATGTCTCCAGTGCTCTTGACGTGCGTACACTCTGTGGTCCCAACATCGATTCAGACCACTATCTTTTAGCAGCAAAGAACATCTCTCAATGAACACAGAAAAGGTTCAAAGTTCAAAGACTGTAATTACAACAGACGGGCAAATGGTCAACAAGTCTTTATAAAAAAAACTGTAAGACGGAATTTCAAGCTCGCTACGTACAGCTGCAAACGAAAGCATTTACCAAAATCCAATAGTTGCCGGAACGACCCTTATTTTTAGCCGAACACGGACTGTCACTTCCGCAGCATTCCCCAAAAAGTACTTTAGGGAATATTTTTGCGATTACAACAACAACAACAACTTACGGAAAGTTTCAAGACTCTTGTAGGACCCAATCAACCAATCAGAAAAGAGCATGTGATGTCTACCTTTAACTATTGAATCATGGGATGAACCAATATTGCTGAAATTTTCAAAGATTGTTCGTTGTGGATCTGGGAAGGTTAAGAAATGAATTTATAATTTTTCTGAGGAAAATTTTGAAAATTTGAAATATTGCGAGAAGGGACTTTTTTCCCTACAAATGTTTTTTTTTTTATTTTTTTTTTTAAATTTGTTTTTCCAAATTTATCTTTTTTTAAAAACTTGCTTTTTCTTTCTGATTTGTTTAACCGAACCGTTTTCGATTGTTGGGGAACATACCTAAACTCATTTTCATTCGAATTTAAATTGATTTGTAAGTTATTTTAATCGTTCAATTTCGGTCGTTTGCTTTCTTTTAAAAGGTAAATTATTGAAAACTATTCAATAAAAACTTTATATGTGTTTCATACAAGGTGATTAGTTACAAATTGAAATTTTTTGCAATGCCACGAAAACGTCGTGCTAATATCGGGCGGCGTTCCCGACGTGCAGCGAACCAACGTAATGTAGCACGTCGTACGGAAGAGGAAAATGCTACTGCAAAGGAATCGACTTCCATTTCAGTTTAAACGTATGCAGTTTCCAGTGAAACTTGAATTTGTGATGACAACCAATAGACCACAAGGCCGATCGCTGAAAGTGTGAGGCATAAATCTGGAAAAGCCTTGTTTTCGCCACGGCCAGCTATACGTGGTTCGCGAGTTGCAAAACCATCTTCTCAGTACATTTACGCACCGGGACAGGGAACAAAAAAGTATATTTTACAAACATTACATCGAAAAATTGTAAGCAAATCGCGCTTTTCAAAGCATTCCTTTTTTGAAAATTTTAAAAAATATTAGAATTTTGAGTACGAATACCTCGTTGGTGGCCTGGAGAGAGCTTAGTTTAGAAGCGCACATGATGAATGATGGTACAATGTTATCGATTGCTCTATCCACAGTGTCGTATAAAAAGGAATAACTTTTTTAAAGAACCTCTCTCTCTATCATGATCGAATAGAGCTCTTTTTCGTTTCTAAATATAATAAAAACAGCCAGATATTTCGATCAGCTGATTTTGGGATCTTTTCATTTTCTATCAAGACCGGCGAGCGCCTTAAGTTCAACATTATCTCGCTGGGCTGTGCAATTCATCTTAAATGAGTTGAACATTTCTGTCTGGCTTATTACACTATTAGCTTAAGGATAAACCTCGGTGATATATATTAACCTTATCGATAAATGATAAATTATAAAAACAAAAAAAAAATTGCTGCATTAAGATATTTAGAAATTCATACTCACCAATAACTAAATGAACCATCATTACGCTGTGGTTATTCGTGTGATTCCAAACATTCAAATGGTGTACGGATCTGCGGTTCGAAATTATATCAATCAAATGAAATGAGCTACAATCAAATGAATTCCACCACCAACTTACCTAACGCCATCGATGTTACCCAGATCCAGTGCCAGATCGACCAATGATATCGACGCCGGCACAGCGTCCAGAAGAATGCCAATCGATTCCCGAAACAAGCGTACGGTGGTCATGAAAACGATGATCGAGAACATCACCGTGCACAGCGGGTCGGCATACTTGGCGGCGGGCTGTGGCAAAGCAACGAAAGAAAGTAATAAAATATTAAATTTAAAAATACGATAATCAAGCAGTGAGGAATTTCGTACTCACATAAATTGATATTAAAATCGAAGCGAGAAAAACGCCAATACTTTGCACCAGATCACCAATGACATGAATCATGGCAGCGCGCAGATTTAGATTCTCGGCATTATCACTGCGGGTGGGCGAAAGATGTAGAAAAAAAATTAAACATTGTAAATAACTTAATACAAGTAAAAAGAGACATTAATAAAAAGTTCGTTGAAGTTAAAAAAGTGTAAACCTACAGTGTGTCCCAAAAATAACCGAAATTTGTGGATATAAAATAAAATACACATTTAATTATCTTTGAAAGTTATTATTTATTCAAAATAGGTTCCATTTGACTCAACACAACGTTTGAAACGATCAACCAGCGCATGCATAAATTTTTTATGTCATTTATAGAAATGTTCTTCAGTACCTCGGTTACGGCTGNTTTTTAATGTTGGAAATTTTCAATAGATGGCGCTGTATTTTGTATGATTTAAATATAGAGTTCGGTTAGTTTTGGGACACACTGTATATGGAAAAAATATCTGGCAAAAAACTGAATACGAAAATGGTGATAAAAAAGTTGAAAGCTAAAAAATCAACATATAAAAATCATGTACAAAATGATTGGAACTATAATTAAAAGGAGAAAAATCCATAGGCATATATGTATGTATGTACATAAAAGTATGTATTTACAACACAACTGGCAAAAAATCAGAGAAAATAGTAGAAAAAATCCCATTCGAATTAAGTTGGTAAATCGCTGGAGGCAAATTGAAATGTGTTGCTTATTGACACAATAATGCCGAATGTGAGTGCGTCAAATGCGGGTGAAAAAATAAATGCCAAAAGAAAAAAAAGTTGCGAGAAAAATTATCATTTATGCATATGTTGCATGGCAAATGCATAAAAAGTACAAAATACAAGAAAAGCGCGCGGAAAAAAGCAAAATATAAATTTAAAATTCATAAAATGCCATGGCGAAATCAATTTTAAGCACTTTTGTAAACGAAAATATGCACAAGTCAATATGAATTATGCACGCGAATCCGCATGGATTAACTTCATTTACATACTCACCATATCACACACTCATATTCATACACATAAGCGCATGCACACAAACAAATGCGAGTATCAATGTATGTGACTTTTTTCGGTGGGGGGGAAAATATTGCGAAAAATCAGATATTATAATGTGTTAAAAAAATTGACAGGACAATCTGCGCTTTATGAGAAAATCTTAAATTACTGCAAATCTTTTCGATATTTAAATTCATGCAGTCGTTTGGTTGGGTGCATTTAAGTCGTTCGAAAATCATAAAAAATTCGAAATTCGAACATTAAATGTGTCTGGTGACAAGACAAAAAAATGAAGAGATTGTAAGCAGTTAAAGCTAATATCCAGTACAGGATAATTAATTTCTCTATACAATTTTTCTAGTTTTATATGTACATATATACATAGAAGCCATCATTCTGAATGACTGATGGATCAACCCATACCCTGAAACACTCATCGTACAGACCTCGAAATTGTGGAGTGTGTGTTCGGCCTATGACGTGGGAATCCGATATGAAATGATTTTCTGGTACAGAAATTTTAATTTATATTGAAATCGTTAGCTCTTTGCCTAGATTCACTTTTTCTCTCCTTTTATCCAGATAAATCATACTCATGGTTCGAGTTGCTTTCCGCGAAGTGGATCAATGATTGAGCCTTTCGACAAATTGAAGTTTTGGTTTGAGTCCTCAAATTTCATGCTACCGAAGTTGCGGCCAAACTCTTGCACTAAATAAAATGCAGAAATTCTAATTTTTCTTATTCTTTTAGGGGCTTAAATATTTTTTTAAGACAAAGAAAGTGGGTTTTTCTGGTAGCACGAAAGAGACGAAACACGTTTATTGTCTGATAGCTAGGAAGCCGAAGATAGAATAGAAAAGAGTAAAATACGAAGATAGAATGAAGCTACTTCGAATTATTGTGACATTGACTAAGCTTTAGATTTTATGCTCGTTGTCCAGCTGTTTGAATACTAGGAAAGATCAAACATCACCGCCGTCCAAGAATTCGTTGCTGAGTACTGGCATTTACCTCGATGGAAGAACGTCTCGCTACAATCCGCATCGAAGCGCAGTTCTCCAAAAAGTCGCTGATTTGCCTTTAATGCTCGTCTGGAGCATATAAATAAGCACCACCCCCGCCATGACACAATAGTTGGAAATTCTAGCCTTCACGACGAGACATCCCCGAATGAGTTGTGGCTGATCAACTTTGCCGCGATCCGAAATGTAATTGTCTATAGCACTAAATTCCAGCACAAGAAAATTCATTGAGCTACTTGGCTGTTTCATTGATCGATAATCTCACAACCAGATCGTTCGTGTCATGTACTCAGTGTTCTTGACGTGAGTGCACTCCGACAATGTAAAATCGACTCGAAGCAGTCTCTTTGCCGCAAAGAATGCCCTTCAACAAACAAAAAAAAAATTTAAACATCAATAAGTTGAAATCACAACCGAATGTTTTTCAACTCGACTTGCACTCTTGCTTCCTGAGTGCACTTATCAGCCACTCTTTTAGCACAGGAGCAAACGAAACTATTGCCTTTCGGAAAATATTGATAAAACATCTGGTGCGATGAGCACTGCCGGATCGATGAGGACAGAAAACATTCCGCCTACCTAGTAATGTTAAAATCGACCACAACATGTGCGGGATGGGATGGGTGCCGAGAGATGAAGAGCGAAGTATGAAGCATTTGCAGAAAAGTGAGAAAGAGGCAGAGATACATGAGTATGAAAAGCTGGAGAAGCATGAAGCGATGATTCATTAGATAACTGAGAAATCTAGATTTGTTCCCTCAGGAATTACTTAAAACATAATCACAGTGGACCAGAATTAAACGTGAGCTCGAAGGGCTAAATTTAATCACTGCAGCTATACTGAAAGCATTATTGGTGATGATAATAAGGTAGCTAAGCGAATAGACGCTGTTCACACAGATATTCAACTAGCTATATAATAGTTTTTCAATGTTTACTTGTGTTTCTAATTATAACAACATTAATCTTAAGCAATTTATTTATTATTAAACAAATAATAAGAGCAAGTAAACTTGGAGATAACTAGTTTTAATTAAAATATGTTTTAATAAAAAAATTATTCAGGAAAAATTTATTTAGAAAAAGTTTATTTATAACAAGCAAAATTCAAAAGATGAAAGCCAAAAAGGAATTTAACAGACCGCTGCTTTGAAATTGGAACGTAATGGAATGCATTGTCGGCTTTGGAAAATAGTCAATAACCTGAATTTCAGAAAAGCTAGACCACAATCACAACTGAAACTGTTCAGGGAAAATTTCAGATTTGCTGTTATACCCGAATATTATTTATAAATGAATTTTTCTGCAATTTCATTAAAATACAATATTTCAAAAACAAAATTAACACAATGACAGCAATCAATTGTTTGAGCTTAATTGAGTGTATGTGAACACCAACCTCTGTGTCTTCTTCAAAATCTTTGGCTGCTTGAAACAAACAATAACTTTTAGCCGACATATGTATATAGAGACACAAAACTTTAATATATTTTCATATTAAGAGGTGATCGTGACGATGACGTGAAGCACTAAGAAACGATTTATACTAAATGTTTGCGCCAACTATCAATTGACAGCTGGTGCTGTTGATTAATCGTTTATTCGATTTGCCATTAGTGAGTTATTAAAAAAAGTTTCTCTTTAAAAAAGTACATATTTTTTAAAACAATTTTAAATTAAATAATATATGTAAATAATGTGTTGCCTACAAAAAGCTGAATAATTTATTCAGTTTTTTACTCACCATTTTTTCAATTCATTGCCAGCGACACCTACACCGCCGACGGGCAGCGCTGTTGCATGGTTATGTGAGTGTGAGTGTGCATGCGCGTGTGCATGACTGTGACCGTGAGCAGCTCCATGTGCTAGCGATGAGCCGTGGAGTATGAAAACCATGCTGAAAATCAAGGAAAAAAATTTTAAGTTGACATTGAAAATTTTTATAAAGAATTTGTAAAAAAGGTGATATGAGAGGTATGTATGTAAATACATTTTGCAGTCGATTGGCAATAAAGTTTTCCCGCATGTATAATATATATGTTTGTATATCTTAAATATTAAAATTAAATATTATTAATTTATTGCATTTATATTTATATTTATATTTATATTTATATTTATATTTATATTTATATTTATATTTATATTTATATTTATATTTATATTTATATTTATATTTATATTTATATATTTATATATTTATATTATATATTTTTTTTTAAATTAACTCATATTAATACTTACACAATATTAATAATAATTCCAATGCCCGATATAACCATCATTGTGTTGGCACTTAAATCGAAGTCATTGGAGTATAATCGTTCCATGGCCACAATAATTAGTGTTGCGGTTAGTATCCAAATACCTATTATTGATACAATGGCGCCCATCACCTCTATTAATTATTGAAGCAAATAAATAAAGAAAACATAAATGTTAATAAGGTGGAATAAAAAGCTTTGTAACTACTTTTTATTACGGCGCATATGCGTTTGTATAGAAAATTAACTAAACAAAATCTACTCGCGTTTTCCACATTGAAGGACTGGATGAATTACCTAAGCTTAGTTTTTGTTTCCATAAGTACCTCAAGCACTTTCTAAATGCACTCAACGCTATCGTTAAATGAGCGCGCAACGTCGCGTGCTCTCCACTAAATGTGAAGTGAGAATCTAAACCAAGTTTTCGGAAAAATGGGAAGGTTTAACTTAAACACAATGTGATAGAGCTGGACCCTGGTTACCAATTCAGATCACAACTGAAAGGAACACAAAGATATGTTAAAGGAATTAGAAAAAAAAACTTACGAAATAATAAGAGAGAGTCGTAGTCGAAATTATGTGGTAACCCGTAAGAGATGACAGAAATGGTTAGGTTGAGGGGCCTCTTATTCAAACAACCAGATACACAAGAAATATGGTTTGGAGACTGTGAAAAATCACTGGAAGACCTAGTTATTACACATTTTCTATGATGTATAGAAAAGTTACATTTCAAATTTGAAGATATTCATCGTTTAAATCCCCAGTAACTGCTGATATTTCACCAGCTTTGAAGGCTTAATGAGTGCTGGCGCCAAGTTAAAGTTAATACGACACAATATACTCATACAAAGAGTAGATAGATCGGACAGCATTTCTCTCTTTTATCATAGCTCTCTATATAAAGATCACTGAAGCATAAGAAATGTGTTCAGAGAATTTATCTGGATTGAACTGTAGCCTTGGCAGAGCCGCTCCGAACCGCCGAAAGATCTTTTTCATGTAAGATAAACAGTCCTTGTCATGTCCAAGGGCAAGGAAAAATTAATTTTCTATAATTTTAGACGCTCGTTCAACCACGACTCGAACCCTGGCTTTCAGAATTGCTGTTGATGAAGCCTAGTCTGATGATGGTCTAACTTTTGTGGCATCACAATGAATCTTAGTCAGGCCAGGTGAAAACATTTTTTTAGTAAATTAGAGAAAATCTAACTCCAATTCTTTGTCTTCAATTCTTTGCCTCCAATTCGGAATAATTTACAATGGCATATCCGAAGCAAAATATAAAAATAGTGGAAACTAAAAACTCACTTCAAATTGCCTAAAATACCAAAACATTTAAATTTCGTTTGCTTTGTTTGCCAAACTTACCCATTCGTTTATAGCCGAAGGACATACGCCCATCCGGCGGTCGACCACCGAGCCAAATTGCCACCAAACCGATGACAAAACTAATGCAATCCGACGCCAAGTGGGCGGCATCCGTCATGATAGCCAAACTTCCGGCCATGTAACCGCCAAGGAATTCAACAATCTGCACAAATACAATACATAATTGAAATGGAAATGCAACGCCAAAAGCTACAGCGGCTCGATTAAGCGCCCGTCGAATGCGAGCGAGTGTTAATTGCAGTTAGGCGACAGGCAGCCAAATTTTGGTGGGAGTGGGAGTGAGTAGAGCTAAAGTGTTAGATTCAGTTCTTGCACATATTAACACACACACTTACATCCATGTATGTACATACATACATACATATACTAGTGTATATACCAATGGCGTTGTTTGATTAATTAAGTGCGAGCCAAAGAGCAAACGGCCGGTTGTGGGCTTTCACACGCAGCTGCAATGGGAAGCTCATACTAGTCATACGTCACCTCGTGCTATCGGTGGTGAGGTCGAAATAAAACTAGCACGGGTTCGCATGCCGGCACGTGCCGCTTAAGCACAATAACACTCGCTTGATGCACACGCTGGAACTTATGTTTATTGGTTTGTATGTATGTACGTCTGTCGGCCACCATGCTTAGTGATTGATTTACTCACCATGAAAACGCAACAAAGCGTAATTGCTAATAATATTTTGAATTTCGCATCTTGTGTGGATTTTGTATGCAGATTTGCGCTAAATCCGGGTAATTGGCAATGACAGGTGGCGGCGGCGGCGGCGACGGCTGCAGCGGTAGCATGGTTGTTAGCGCCGGAAGCGACGGTGAATTGATGACTGGCATGGTCATGGTAATCATTCTGTGGGTGCGAGAACAAAAACAATGTTAAATGGGTGAGAAATGTTTGCATTGGAAATTGCAGTAAACAATATGTCTATGCTAAAACACTCACATATAAACTTACATACGCGTATAGATAAATAAAGTGGAGATGCAGCTGTAGTGAGTGTTGGAAATGTATTGGCGTGAATGAATGACTATGCAATAAATAAATAAATAAATAAATAAATAGTATTTGCATATTTTCGGACGGCTTTTGCAATGGAAAATGAGTTTTGAGCACTCATTTGCAGATGAAAATTATATGCGACCCTGTAGGGAATTTCTTAGTTGCAACACCAATTTTTTATAGCATTTTTTTTTTTGTATTATTATTAATTTGAATTGAGCCTATTTGACAACTTGATTATTATAGGAAGAAAAAAAATTATAATTGCAGTTCCCCCTCTAAAGGGAATGTCAACCCCTCGGACTGACTGCCTTTTAGTCATGAAATAAAAACTCCTCATAAAAATCCATCAGCAGTTCGGACATTATTTAGAATAAATTGTGGGTACATCCATTTGTTGGGAAAAACATCAAGACGTGCCTTACGAATTGGAGAAGACCGAAAATTGTTTCAGCAACTAAGTTGAGTTGAGTTGATGCGCCTGCTGGTCAGAGACCAATGCATTTAGGCCAATAGGCACATTGTCATACCAGAGTGAGGCTCCTACTCTCACCTTCTGAAATGTTCAAATCATTTCATGTGTTTTATATAAGCAATGAAATTGCCAATTTTACAGTGAACTGGGAGTTAGCTCAACGAGACAGTCGAAGAGGTATTTGCCGAGAAACATGACCCGCGCAGCTGTCCAGCCAGGACTGTGACAGAGGTAGTGTTTAATAGACACTTTCTCTTCTTCATCCTTGCTACGTTTTATAGTAGATTTGATGACAGCTTGACTGTCGGCATGTACTGTAACTGATTGTCCCGCTGACATAGAGTTTTGCCGCCACTTGGGGGCTTCTATAAATACAAAGAGTTCTGCTCGGAAGCTGCTGCAGTGGTCTGGTAATCTCATGCTAAAAATTACTGAGAGTCTCGGAGAATGTATTCCACAGCCCCCTTTTTAATCGAGTTTTTAAAGATGCCATAGCCATCCTATGATCGAGGACTCTTCATTCGTTTCTGCTTGTTATTCTTGTGGAAAAAATAATGTCGAAGCATATACTGAAGGCGGTGTAGTCAGCTTCTTTGGTGCTTTGTAAGTGGTCATACTTTGGAGTACTCTATGAGGTAGTTCCTCCAAGTTTAAACTACATTCATTCTAATAGCGTTGTAGCTCGCTTGTTTCCCTATCACCGTTCTGCAAGTATGGAGTGTAGTTATAGCCTTCCTCAACCTTTTTTGTCGCGTTCCGGGCTCAGTTGAGTTTGCAATCTAAAACTATTTCGACATTTTTGACTTCGGTGCAGAGGATGATCTTCCGGCTCTTTATTAAAGGTGCCTCAAGCGCAGGAAACAACACGTTTCGTGAACAAAATCAATCCAGTTTCCCGCCAAGTGCGAAGCACGAATATTCCGATTTATCTCACTTGGAATGGAATACCTTCATTTGAGGCAACTGTTTACCTCGTTTAAAGGAGATTTGTTGAGGCATCTTGCATATTCTCTGATTTAGCACCCTCAAGTTATGCACATTGGTGCAAATGAGTTTTAAACTGACTTGTTAGGTTGGATAGAACTGACAAACCAATTGGATTTCTCATAGACAATAGTACGTCCAAGGTGTCGCCAGGTAGACTGCATGCCACTGCTAAAATCTTATCGTTGAATTAGTTATTTTGGGTCTTGGTGCTGATTGAAGATCTTGTGGCGTGTCTGCGCCAACAGCCTTTGTCTGCCGGATAGCCGGATGCTAGAACTTCATAGATTACGTGCTCCACTGTCCACACACGTTCTCTGAATTTCCTGCACTTGTTGTTCTATAACAGTCCTCTCAGGAGCCTGGAATCCGGTCTCTTTACAGATAGCAGACAACTTTGTATGCAATTTAGCATGATAAGTTTTGCTCATAGTTTTTGCGATTCTTCAGTCCTTAGCACGTTCCCAAAGTCCTGACGAGGGAGTATTATTTCTTGCTTCTGCTTCATTTCTTTGAATGGAAATGGACGGTTCGATGCTGTATCCCGTCCTAAAAGGGCAGTCTTCATAGCCGGTTCGCCAGCTATTTAATTATCCTCACTGCCTGTGTGACCTTGCGTCCAGTAAATGTAAACTCTACAGATTTCAATCAGTACTTGAATCGTCACTTTACATAGTGCGACCACAGCTGACTTAATCCCGTATGATATTAAGGTCTTTGCGGTCGATACACATAGATGTGTTTTCTTTCCCCTTGAAAGCCGACACTCTGCAGTAGCTCTGCCGCCATTTTCAAAGCAAATATTTAGGGTTGCAAGACACTGCAAGCTGAAATGAGTTCCCTATCTGTAGTTGGGTGCAGTAAACTGAAGCATCCACTCTTTCGTTGATTTTAGAACCATCTGTAAAAATGTGAAGAGATTTGTCTACACATTTCCAGCCGTTCTCCGCTATTGTAGCTGACCATAGCTTCCGAGAGTCAGCCTCGAGATTACGTTATGTTTGCGGAAGCTCAGAGACAACTACTGCGCCCTTAAGAGCTAAGTTTAAAGCTGACAGGAGGCAATTGGGAATGCTGTGTTTTTTGGCAGTGGGTTTGCTGGTGGAAGGCGCTAGCTCGCATGTGGCGCTGCAGCTAATGGGATCCTGATCAGTGAAAGTCCGAATACACTTCTCAGCCAAGCCTGATGTTTCTTGTCAAAGCATTGAGGAATTTGTTTAGAATAAAATATAAAAAATTAGTTATTATTCCCTTTAATTCCCTAGAGGCTCTCTACAGTTTATTTGCATTTGCATTCGCCCGAAAAATTCCACTGTTTGCAACTAAATTATTTATGTATGAGAGCAAATTTTTGATTTCTTGGCAGTTAAATCATTGTTGTTGTTGCTTTGACTCTCGAAATTTCCTATGCAACTCTAATTTATTTACATGAATTTATCATTTATTTGCTAATTGTTGTTATACGCATGCAATTGTTGTTGTTGTTTTTTCATTAATTTGTACAAATGTTTGTTTTTTTTGTTTTCCACCACGGACTTTGCCGCGCATAATTCATGAGCCCCGCACACAAATACACACACACACACACACGCGAGAGCGCTCTTACTACAGATATTCTCTTAAACAACCGGGCATTCGAAAGTGCAAAGGGCGAATTCACATTTGACTCACTCATAAACACTGGCAAAGGGTCACACAAGCCTACCCTGCAAATATTTTTAGGCCATATTATCCATTGGAGTTATCCAACAAGTAGTCCTCTAGTAGTGTGCTATTGGATTAACTGACTTCTCGCTATCAGCTCGTTGTTAGCTGATGATTGCTCGTGTTTTAACGACACGAAACGAAGTTGCAAGTGAGCAAAAAGATTTATGCTCATATACAGAAAATGTGTAAAAATGAAATTAAGTCAGTTCGTGTTCTTGGTGGTGCATGGAAGGCGCGCTGAAGCTCGGCCGTCTACTAAGCCATTGATGATGTATTATATGCAGGACAGTAAAGAAAGCTTTCGAAAAATCGGTGTAAAAGACATCGGGCACCATTCTAAAAAGCTGCCATGCATTGGCGGGAAAAACAGACTGGGTTTGTGACATTAGAACAACCGCTTACAAAACCATGCTGATGTGGGCTTATGGAGCCTACTTTCTCAAGCAGCCCATGAATTCTTATATCATATTTATTACCAGACTTGAATAATGGGGAGATAAAGGGTTTTCCAATAAGAGGTGTTATTTCGAATAGTCTGCGAAACGTCTTTAAACCGTCTCAATCCCCATTAAGTTCAGTTAACATCAGAACCCAAGACGACTGATCCTCAAAAGCGTCATGTCTTTGCTGATTTAGTCCTTGCAGTGCACGAAAATGATCTGGAATTTCATCCAAAAATCATCTTGACTGCTGAGGCCCATTTCTACGCCGATGGCTGCATCAAAAAGCAAAACTGTCACATCTGGGGCTCAGAAAACTCCAGATTTATTGTTAAAAAGCCTCTCAAACCTCAAAGTGTGACTTTTGCGTGCGGTTTGTGATACGGTGGACCTTACATTTTCGAAAACGAGGCAGGAGTAACAGCTGCGGTAAGTGGATTGTGCTATCGTGAGATGATTTATGAGGTTTTATGGCCGGAAATAGAAAGTGTTGGTCTGGAAAAAGTTCCCTTTCAACAAGACGGCGCTACGTGACACACAAGCAACGAAAACATCGAGCTTTTAAGGGAAAAGTTTCTGGACTGTGTTTTCTCTCGAAATGGTGCTTGCTACTGGCCACCGAGATCTTCTGATGTAATACCTTGTGACTTCTTCTTTTTGGGTTAATTGAAAGATAAGGCTGACGGCGATACAGGTCCTCAAAGATGAAGTTCGTGCAGCTATTGGGAGCTTTGTGGAGCCAAGGCTTATATTATTATCCATTATTATTGGAAGACCTGTACTTTGTAGAGTACTTTTATGAAGTAGTTTCAAAACTTATTTCCTGTAGATACTCCATGGATTACTCGGATGTTACTCACAATGTTATTTTCTCTGTATTTTGTGTATGGAATGTGGTTAGTTTTGGATTACTCCATTCTAAGCGTGGTGTACATATTGCGTTGTTTGCTGGGTATCTTGAGACACACACACACTTACACACACATATACAAAGTGCTTACGGCAAGGAATGTCAATTTCAATTCGCTAAATTCAATCGGAAATACTTTCGAAAAAGTCAAACATAAAAAAGTTATTCTAAAAATATTAATGAATAAATAAATTATTAAAAATTAAAATCAATATTTACATAAACACTCCCACATACATACATACATATATTCGCAAGTGCTCGCGCCATTAACTTTAGTAAACATTTATGTGAAATACCAAAAATTTTCAATGAATTTTTATTTCTCATAAAGTAAATATTTAATTGTGAGTATACGCAGCTGTTGTATATGTATTCGGCTTTGTTGCTTTTGTTGCCTGTGTTGTTGTTAATTTAAATTGATTCTATACTGTTTGCAGTTTCCTGATTTATTGAGATATGATTTCAAAGCCATTTTTACTATATAACGATTCCTCCCATGCGAATGTTATTTGCCAACACTTTATTTTTAAATTTTAAGCCGCCAATAATCGTTTTTGGAATTTTAATGCGCTTCTGCGAAATTTTGTATTAGAGAAATTTTGTTGATTGCCCTTTATAAAAAATTGATTGATATTTAGCTATGTGGATGGAATTTAGCTGGATTAGCTGGTATTTGAATCAATGCATTTGCAAATTTTTATTCTTATTTTACATAAATGTGGTAGCGGATAATATTTGATTTGGTTTGGATTTCAATAGAAGTTCAATTTGATTGACGAATTTTAAAACTTTTTTTAATATGCAAACATATACATATATACGTCGGAGTATTTGTTGTTTTACATTATATGCAATGAAAAGTTCATAACTGATTGATATTCTCAAAATATTTAAACGTGAAATTACCATCACTCAAGAGGTGCGATTAATGGGATAAGAACGTAAAGAGATGGAACTTTTCGACTAGTACCAATTTGGCCATGGGTGTAAGGGACGGTGGCAGCACTAAGTTCTTTGTACTGTACATATTCGCAAAAAATTCAACTTCGGCACAAAAATCGGGAAATTCAGCCCTAGTGATAAGGCGACTTGGGGTAAATTGCAGGAGCCTCCCTTTGCTGATAAAATATTAAGAGAAGGAACTTTGTCGAACATCGCTTCAGCGGTTACGATGCGTCAATTATATAGATACAAACTGACGTTGGTCACACCCAAAGCTCCGTCAGGATTGGGAAGAGCTCTCCAAACCGTTCGATACCAAACAAGGTTTCAGAAAAGCTGATTCTTTATTGCGTGACTTCTTAAATTTATTGCTGGGAGAAATAAAACGAGTTGCAGAGCTGTATAGAGAAGGTACAGCCTTCTATAAGAGTGTACAGCTACTGGCCTGCGCCGGAGATGTTGGCATTATACGCCTCAACAACCGCGCCGTTAGTTCGCTTTCTCCAGACGTAAAAAGAAGCGAAGCGAATGGATCTGGTAGTGAACGAGGACAAGACGAAATATCTCCTGTCATCAAACAAACAGGCATCGCATTCGCGACATGGCTCCCACGCCACTGTCGACGAAGCAGCTTCAACACCAACAATAATGTCAGCCTTGAAATCCAACTCAGAATTACTCTTACCAACAGGCGTTACTTTGGACTGAGTAGGTAATTGAAAAGTAGAGTCCACTCTCGACGAAGAAAAACCAAACTCTACAAGTCACTTATCATTCCCGTCCTGAAAAATGGTGCGGAGGTATGGGCGCTGACATATCATCTGATGAGTCGTCGTGAGGGGTTTTCGAGAGAAAGATTTTCCGTAAGATTTATAGTTCTCTGCGCATTGGGGAATATCGCAGACGATGGAACGATGAGCTGTACGAGTTATACGGGGATATTGAGATAATTAAGCGAATCAATAAACAGCGGCTACAGTGGCCAGGTCATGTGGTCCGGGTGGATGCGAATACTCCAGCTTTGAAAGTTTTCGATGCAGTCATCGCATCCGGACTCTCCATTTTCACAACTATTCAGCAGGTTGGAGAAGTGTTCCCTCCGGTCTTAAAATCTTCCGTAAGTCGTTGTAGCTTCTCATAGAATTTTCGAGCGTTACCCTTGCCGGTCAGCTTCTCAAGTTCTTCATACTCACGCATCTTGGCCTTGCGTCTTGCTTCCGTCTTCATCTCTCGGTATCTATCCCATCCCGCAAAAGTTGTGGTCGATCTTAACGTTGCTGGGTAGGCAGTCTATCTGCTCTCCACTGCGACACAGCAGTCTTTATCGTACCGGCTGTTTTTTCGACCTTTGCGAAATCCAATAGTTTCATTTGCAGCTGTACGTAGGGAGCTTGAAATGTTGGCCCACAGGTCCCGTATACCGAGTTGTGCTCTCAGAGAGCAGGAGCGCTAGTCAAGTAAAGAATCGTTCAGGAGTCTGTTGCTGTGTTTGTTTTACGGGCGTTCTTCGATATAGAGACGCATGCGTAGCTTCGCTGCAACAAGACAGTTATCCGAGTTGATGTTGGGTCCTCGGAGTGTACGCACGTCAAGAACACTAGATACATGTCTTCCGTCTATCACAACATGATCGATTTGGATTTGTGTTTTTCGATCAGGGGGGTTGATTTCCACTCTGTTGAAAATACCAAATTGAGAAGAAGCTGCCTGATTTTGGATTCTTCAAATGGCGCCAAACAGCGAAAAAAAGAAATGAATAGCGCAATGCTATAAATTCGGTTATAATCGCGTAAGCGTTGTCTACGCGTAGTAAAGAAGAAGAAGAAGAAGAAAAGGAAGAAGAAGAAGAAGAAGAAGATATGTAAAGTCTAAAGCCCATGCGGACAATGCCGCTTCGATTCAGCCCTTAGAGAAAAACATCGCGCATGTCAGTCACCAGTTACCAGTGGAAATGCTCGAACGATTCACCGAAAATTGGACTCAGTGACTGGATCATCTGAGACATAGCCACGGCCAACATTTGAAGGAGATAATCTTCAAAAAATAAATGGCAAATAATTTTATTTCGAATGATAATAAACATTTCCCATTAAATATGAGCATTCTCAGTTTTTTTTATCGTTAAAAAAGTAGGGAACCTCGAAATGCAGCACCCTTTAGATAAGCGAATAAAAGCAGCTTGATTGAAAAAAAATATAAACAGGAAGAAAAATTCTTAATTAAAAAAATTTCGGATCAAAATAAGTAAATAAGTTATTCATGACATTCCTAAAATCTTCTTTAGATAATCAAGTGTACGACGGAAGTGATACACACACGCATATATATATTTATTTATGTATATGTAAGCCTAAATATGTAGCAGAAAAAAAACTCAATTGTCTACAATGCGCATGCTGCTGCTCCACATGCTTGCGCACGCAAAACACTTGTGCAAACTCAATGACATTTGAGCACACACATACACACACACATACACCTAGTTATTTGTAAATGAATGTATGCATGTGAGTATGTAATAGTTTATTTAATGAATATTGCAGGTAAATAAAATAAAACTAAAATATTGTATGAAATGTATTTATGCACACATACATATACATACACACATACATAGGTACATATGTATGCATGTATGCATGTATGACCGTAAGCGTGCTCATGATTACATTACATATGTATGAATTTCACTTGCATTATTATTTCCGCCAAGCAATGGCACCTCCATCGTCGTATCATCCGCATCGTAGGCATCCAACAGTAGCGATGTTGACGACGATTTAGACTCCAATGTTGTGGCGAAATTCGTTCTCATTGCTGCTATGTGTTGTGCTGGTGTTGTTGTTGCCGCTGTTGCTGTCGCCGCTGCTGTTGACATGCTCGTTGCGCTTGTTTGATTAATATCATTTGTTGGCATACTGTCGAAGGGACTGTATTCCCAACTGCTGCTCACAGCACTGCTGCGACTATTCAAACTATTGCTGCTGCTGTTGCTTTTACTATTGATGTTGTTGTTCCTACTGCTGCGGCTGCTGCTGTTGCTGCTGTTGGAATCATTGCTGCTATCGGTGAAGAGCAAGGTTTGCAGATTCTCAGCAGAATTATGAACATTGGTACTTGTTGTTGTTGTTGTTGTTGTTGCTGCTGCTGTTGCTGTAGCTATTGTTGGACTATTGTCGCCGCCAGCGCTTGTCGCGTCGATATCGTCATCGCCGGCAGCAGACGTCGGTTCGAGTAGCAGCTGATACTTTGACATATTCGTAATTTATTTATACACACACACTCACACATACACTAATGCACATAGGCACACATACATATATTTTTAAGTAAGTTTGTATGTAAATATTATAATATAATATATTTTTATTATCGGTTGAGCCTCTTTATTGTGCTGTATTTAATATTAATTTTTATTCTCGCTACATACATACGAGTATATATGTATCTGATCACTAGATGGCATGCATACGTGTATGTATTAATATAGTAGTATATCCACAACGGACTTATATTAAAAGCTACTATTGTTTTATTGTTTTGTTGTTGTAGTCACTCGTGCTATTTCATATGCACCGCAGTGAGACGCGTGTGAGTTGAGAATTATTTTTAGCGTGAAAAAAAAAATTGAATTCACGTTATTTCATTTTTTTTTTGCTGTTTTTATTTTATGGCGGCATTTGTCTTCTTTGTTGTTGTGGTTGTTGTTATTTCGTTATGACACTGGTTCAGCTTCAATTGGCTGGGAGGTGACAAAGTGTAAAAGAAATTTTTATTAAATTTAAATTTCTTTGTGCACAATTTTAATGGCAATTTGTGTGTTCTTTATGCGGAAAATTAGAGTCGGTTAATTTGTCTACACTGCGAGAAATATTCTGGTTAAATTTCAAACTGTAGCTTAATTTAGTTTTTTTTACATTATTGATGGAAATTCTGTTTGAATATATGTTTTTATTCCAGATAATATTATTCTATTATTTTTTGATATAATTGAGGATCAAGGTTGAACATTAATTGGTAAATGAAAAATAATTATTTATTACCGTGTCTATTCCGAAAAAAATAAAAGCAATTTTTTTATAGAAATTACCACATATTTTTTAATAAAAAAAAACATTGCGAAAGGGTTTCGCGTTGTTTCATTAATTTTTTAATTTATATCAATTACATAATTCGCTCTTTTCAACTGATGAATCGATTTTCGGCCGAGCTCTTCCTCTTATTCGTGGTTTCGCGTCTTACTGGTTTTCCACAGTTTATAATAAGCTGATGCTTTCTCATTATGAGCCTTCATGTCAGAAATATATTCAGAAGCCTTGACATTCTCTACCGATGGGTTACCGAAATTTGAAAAATAAATTCGCTGTAATTTTGAAGTTTGATTGGACCACGTCTCGAACCCTAATCTTAGTAGTACGCACTGCTAACTGTTCGGAAATTGCAGCCGCACTCTACATTAACAAAAAAACATGAATAAAAACATTTAAACTATTTTTTTTGGACGACTTTGGTTTTATTTCGGAGAGTTGAAAACACTTGAGACAGCCTCATGGAAAGCACCATTAAAATGGTTGCCATGTGAGGTAAACTGACGAACGTCTGGAATGTCTGACCCCAAAAACCATGCATCTGCACACAAATGGGCGGAGCAAGTACAAAAGAAGCTGGGTTCCTTTCAAATCTACTACAATATTCACACAAGAGAGCGTGATTTGCCTTGTGGGAGAGACTTCACCACCGAGTTCTTCAATTTTACCGCCAGCGCAGACAGTCGCCACGACGAAATATCACTAAAATAGAGATCTCTGTAATACCAGATTTCCACACAAGAAAATTCATATGGCTCGACAGGTTCGTAACTAAGTTGTGATAGATGGAAGATATACCTCCAGTATTCTTGCCGTACGTACGCTCAGAGGACTCAACCTCTACTGGTTCCACCATTTTGTTGTAGCAGCCGCCTCGGTGCAGCTATAAAAGAAACACAGAGGAGGGATCGTACCGAAATGCTAAAATCACAACAGATACCCGAACGGTTGTCTATTCGGCATGAACTCTGCTTGGGCGTTAGATTTAGACCAAAAACAAAATCGTCATCATGCCGCAACCACCGTATGCACCGGATTTGGCCCTCGCTGACATTTTCCTATTCCGAAAACTAAAGACACCGTTGAAAGGAAAGCGTTTAGCTACGATTGAGGAGATAAAGGAAAAAAATGATAAAGGAGCTATTGGCGATACCAAAAAAACATGTTTCAGAATTGTTTCGAGAATTGGAAAAAAAGTTGGCATTACTTTGAAGGGAGCAAGATAGTTATTGTTGAATAAATAAATACCTTTTAAAAAAATTGAAAATAACGGTTATTTTCTGATCACACCACGTATATTACAAAATGGAACTGATTGAATTTTTTATTTTCCGAAATTAAATATTCCTAAAAATTAAATAAATATAATGCAAGCTGCCATACGATTACCTTAAGGAGGGTAGAACGTTATCTCATACGCCCTACGTACCCCCCCTTGTAGAAAAAAACTGGTTTTCAGCAATGTTGAAAGAAGAGCATTATTTTGCCAACTGTCTACCTCACAATACGGCTATCACTGATAGAGCAGAGGCGAAGGGAGTGAGACATCTTTGCAGAGAGAAAAAGAGGAGAACCGATAAGTGTGGTTATTTTATGAGAAACCTGCAACACTAATCAGGTCTTATAAATTGACGCCGAACTGCATCAAAAGCAAAAACCCGATCTCTTCAAGCCGATCGATATTTAACGAAGTTTTAGATTTAGACAAGTGTGTACAACAACTGACGCGTGCCGGCGATTTTGACATCATTGGCCTCAACAGCTTCAACAACAATTTCTGCCTAGAAATATACCAAGCTAATTTAAGACTGAATAAGAAATTGAAAGCAGAGTCCTCTCCCGGCAAATATTGTAAAAACCAAGCTAGCTTATCATTCCCGTTCTACTATTTGGTACAGAAGCAAATTGATGATTCGGAGTTATGAGTTTCAAGGGAAAGGTTTTGCGGAAGATTTATACACCTTGAGGCATTGCCAGCGCGGAATAGCGCTGTACAGGAGAAATGACGATAGGTACATAATTTTTTCTTGGACTTAGATGCGTCGTTTGAACTTCTCAATAACGTTTCCAATAAGAGGGTTTTTTTTTACAAATTTTTTTCAATATGCCGTTGGACGCCTCGTCATATACTGTGATGCTCACGTTTTAAGTGTTTTCAATATATTGCAAGAAAATCTTCATTTTTGCATGATTGAAGGCTTTAATTTTCTCTTTTCGTATCCAGTCTTATTCATCCAGGTTTTTGTGCAATCTTTAGCTCTTGGGCAATCGAAACACTGCTTACAGGGCGGTCGGACTCGAACTCGACAATTGGCGCTCCAGCCGCCTGCCTTGTGTTTTCGCCAACATTGAAGAAGAACTGTAAAATATAGGTATTCTCTCTTTGCGAGTCTCCATCTTTGACACACGCTGAAATAAAACTGAATCGACCAATCACTAAAGTGTCAGAAAAGCTTTTCTAGTGCGAAGTGTCATCTTATCTTGCGAACGCCGTGCACCGGAATCCGATCAAACTGATACAACCCGAGATACAGATAAATAACGCTATCTACTCGTATTGGAAAAATAATGGATTTATTTTTATATGTATTATTTATCCCACTTTTACCATATGAAATTCTAACCACACTTGTATATTTCATGTCTTTTTTTAAAGCACTGAAGTTTACCCTCCTAAATAAAATTTCCAAGAGACTTTTAAATAAATCTTTCACAAAATCGATTATTAATCAAAATGATTTATATTATGAACTTCATAAATCTTATCGAAAAATATGATAAAGATATTTCCATCCTAATATTTTAACATTGAAATAAGCTCAAACATTTCTAAAAAAAGGAAATGCTAGATACAATTTATTGTTTAGGTAATTGGGGTATTCACGAGACTTCGAATTTTTCGGTAAATCACTTTTTACTGACTGCTAAATCGTAACAATATCGACCCACTTCTAAAGTGGATGGTGACTATGGATGAAAAGTTAATCATTTAAGTCAAATGAAAACAAACATAGTCGAAAGGCAGGATTTGTTGTGTGGGATGGCAAAGGCATCGTCCACTCTAAGCTGCTCTCCTACAGCCAAACTTTTAGCTCGGACAGGTACTGTAGGCAACTGGATCATCTGAAGGAAGTATTCGCTCAGAAGCACATAGTTTTGGCCAACAGAAGAGGAATTGCCTTTACTCAGGGCAAACATCAGACCACACATATGGAGAGCTATATCGGTAGGTTTCTTATGTGTCCACCTTACTTCTTGAGCCTAGCACCAAGTGATTACGACCTGCCTATGGCGAACGTTTTAGCTGGTGAGGAAATGGCCCAGAGAAAAGCGCGTGAAAATCGGTTGCCCTTTTTTTTGTTTCATTTCGGTAATAGGAACCAGGGCTTTTATGACACATGCATAATAGCTTTAGCTTAAATTTGAGAAACTCATGTTGTTGTTGTAGTAGCGGTTCACTAACCCCGCTTATGTAGAGGTTTGATTAATCTAAGTCGCCGAGGTCATCTAGTGGGAGGTCCAGGAAACGTGCTGTTTCGACGGGACTAGACCAAAGGGAAAATGGGGTTAGATGAGTCGGTTTAAGGGGGCATGTGAAGAGGTGATTTGTCTCGTGCGGGGACTCTCCACCTGCAGGGCATACATTGGATATGCTGACGTCGAGTCTGGATAAGTGGAAGTTTAACCTGCTACACTATCCAGACCTAAGTTGAGAGAAGGTCACGCGGTTCTCTCAAGGCAGCTCGAGCTCGTTGCCTGTAATGGGTGGTGATTTTAATCCGAGCACGCCATTCACTGGAAGGGAGTCATTGAAGGTGTTGACTGACTCCTGGTAAATGACGTTCAGTGCCTGTCTCTACGCTGGTTGTTGTACGCATTGCTGAATGGTGCTTTCCAAAAAGAGTACTACCTTTCTGATGTGCCTAGGTGGAGCTTAAGCTTCTATTATGTCCCTATTAAGGTGCCCCTGCGGTGACATCCCAATTGGAACTGCTTGAACAGCACAGCATTATGCTCCTTAACTCGTAGCATAGATGCTTCACTATGCAAGTGATGCTCCGGCGACATCAGGAGGTTTCCTGTCGCAGTCCTTAGGGCGGTGTTCTGGCAAGCCTGTAATTTCTTCGTCTGCGTCTCGTTCGTCACCGACGCCCGTATCGGTGCAGCATAGTTTACGACCGGCCGGCCAATTGCTTTGTATATTGCCAGCAAAGTTTTCTTGTCCTTACCTCAGATGCTGCTGGCTAGCGCTTTGAGTATTTTGTTACAGCTCGGGAGTTTTGCGACAATTGCGGTCGTATGCGGGGTAAAGGTGTGCAGGCTTTCTAGTGTCACTGCCAATGTCTTTGGGTTGTTTACAGTCACAATTTTTTCGTCATCGACCTTCACATCTAGTTAAAGCCTGTATTTAATCGTCCAGATGGTGAAGAGGGTAGCCGAGAATTTGGTCAGCTGCATTTTCAATTGTCGTGCAGTGAAGAAGTGAAAAAGATCGGCAAGGTAAAAGTTCGCTTTCGAACGCCATTATCGTGCAATCATCGGTAACGAGGTTAGGGAAGCTTCTTCTGGTGAAGGAGGGAGTTTCGAAATGAAGAAAATAAACAGTAGCGGGGAGAGGAATCTACCCTGCGGAACACTCTGTTTAATTTGTCTGGGTTTCGATGTTTCACCTCGGAATATAACCGATGATTGTCGGCCACTCAGGTAGCCCATGACCCAACTCTGGAACCCCGGCGGTAATGAGGATTCCTCAATGTCCGTTAGTAGCACTGAATGATTGACGGTGTCAAAACGGTGTCTTTTGACAAATCCAGTTCTACCAGGACACTTCGCGCGCAGGGTCGGTTTTGGTTAAGGCCAGATTTGGTATAAACCAGATATTCTACAAAGCAAGCTCCTCCTTCCTTGTGAAATGTGGGACCTACTGTTTATTCAGATCCACATCAGGATTACTAATGGAGTTTCATGAGGAGCTTTTATTTCGTGTATGAAACAGGCTGGGAGGGCTTGACATTACCTGCCAAGAGTCAACCACTTTTAGAAATAATGAATTAAATTCAGTTTTCTTTGATTATTTTTATGCTATCTCGGCCATCATACGAGCTCATGATATTGCGTTTGGTAGAGAGTACTGAGAACCACTCTGCAACTGTGGGCATAGTAAATTAATCGACAAATGCAACTTTTCATTATTACGCCCATAAATAGAATTTTATTTACTTCCATTTATTTGTTTTAAAAGTTGCTTTTCAAAAATTATTTCACTATGTATGTCTACACCACACTGTAACCGCTTAAATATTTTGTTGTTTATGCTTGGTTGTTTATGAACATAAACTCGTATTGAATCGCAAACATTCACTTTGTGTTTTATTTTTATTGCATTTTATTGTCGTTGAAGTCACACTTTTCACGCATAAAACAATTCACAAAGAAAATGTTAAATAGAAATAAATGAATTACAATCTACCATATAAATATTTATCACTGACGTTCACTTTGAGCGATTTAGCCCGATTTAGCCGCTCATCAGTCGCCCCGCACACCGTTCAATCGTCACTAGAAATGCCGCCAGCGCGCGATCACATCGCCCGCGTTGCTTCGTTTATACTAAGTGAAATGAAATGAAAATTGGGTGGTTTGGGCGTTCGTCGATCGCCAACGTTGCGTGTGGAACCGAATTGCATGCATCCAATGTGCTCATCGCATGTAAACCGCACTCATTCATGCTCTCACGCTCTCACGATTTCTCTACTTTCCAATTCAATTGCTTATTTTGTAGGCTGATGAGTGAAAAAAAGCTACAAAGCGCATATATTTGTATGTAAATAAGTAGTTTTGCCTGATATTGCTAATGAGTTTATGGCCAATGCTTGCCACTGATAAGCCGCAAGCGAGAGTGTACACCCATATTAGGTACACAGTGGTATACAGTGGACAAGTGGAGCGGAGTGGCGGTCCACTGCTCTGTTTGCTTTGTGTGAAGTGGTTTTGATGTTCGACAAGCGAAACCACATGATACATACATACATATACGTATATGTATGTATATTTCCGTGTTATCACTACTACTCGTATGAGTATTAAGTTGTAGTTTATGCGATAAATCCATGTGCCTGAGTGAATTAATTTTTCTTTATGGGTGTTGGGAATTTGGGTGTTTGATAAGGTGCAAGATTTTAGAGTTGCCATCAAATAATTTTTTCTTGTATTTTTAACGCAAATTTCGTACGATTCCTCGAAGGTTCTAAAAACTGCACTAACTTTCACAGACGAAAGAAGGGTTAGCGATGGGAGACAACCTTTGCTAGCATTGCAAGAGTACTTTTTGAACTTGGAAATAATATAATAGAAATATTTATTTATAGAACAGCCCAAATCTGGCTTTAAAAGCTGCAGCTGCCAGGCAGAATTTCTCCTGGACATTGTTTTGTTGAATTGTTGTTGGCTTTAAGTTGTATGCAACTGTCTCAGACCATCTATTTTTTTGGAAATAGTGAAAAAATTACAGCAACACTTTTGGACGGTAGAAATTATGCTGTTATTTCGTAAACCACAATGTTCCCTCATCAGACTTATTTTTTCATAAAACTTGGTTCGAAGTGGATTAGTAGTTGGGATACCCACAGAACAATATTTTTTTTTATGAAAATACCTTAATAAGAGTAAAACTAATGGTTTATTCATTAGAAAATAATAACCATAAATTGGAGGAGAAACTCATGCGAAAATCGCCTCAACGGTTTAAATTATTCATAATGAAAAAGTGAAATGGATCACTGAAAGTGAGATAATATGGATGAAGACTGAAGGTAGGCATGGTGTAAATGATGGACGACTGAAAAGTGCCTTCGGCGATTTTTATAATGTCTGGGGAACGAATTTTCAGCTGCTCAAACGTTGAGGATGCTACAGAAAGCCTTTGGATACTCACCTATGTCGTAGAAGAACGTGTATACGTGGTACAATGACTTCAAAGAGGGTCGGAAACGTATTGAAGACTTGGAGTGCTCGGGTCGTCATCTGGTGTATAACACTTCAATGTAATTAAGGAATTAGTGCTCAATCGTCGATTGACTGCTAGAGACGAATTTAAAGGCAAGAATTACGGGTCCACAATTCTTGGTTTTTGAATCACGCACACAGCACTCATTCTTCGTGACCATTTCGCTAAAAAAAACCCACGAATATCGTTCCCCATATTCGCCAAACTTTGCACCAGGTGACTTTTGGCTCTTTCAAAAACTCAAGAGACCATTTCGAGGACACCGTTTTGAGTCGATTGAGGAGACTAAAAAAAGACTGAAGGCCATACCAGAAATATTTGACACGCTTTGATAATTGCAAAAGCGTTGGCATAAGTACATTGCATCGGCAACAGTCCCCGAGATCAGCCACGAGATCGATATAGAATAATAAATAAAGTTTTTTGATTTTACAAACAAATTCACCTTATGTTTTGCCCATAGTAGTATGTAAAGAGCGCTTAGTCACAGATGAGATAATAGAAAGTGCAAGGGTGTGGTTTTGTTTGCCATAAAAGGTTCTGGAAGACTTTTCATGAAATTTCGAGAAAAAAGATTATATATTTAAAACCAAACCGATATATGAAAAGTGTCTACGCAAATATGATTTTATTTTCAAATTATAATGGCAATCCCTTTTAATGTAGCTGCTCACTTTAGATAACACTTGCAGAGTCTTGATTTGCATTCGCTTGACATACATATGTTTATAATTGGCACTTTGTACCCCCTGAATCGCTTTTCGGCCGAGCTACCGCCCCAATATGTGGTTCGCGTCTAGATGTTCTTCCTAAAAATGAAGGGACCTAGTGTTTATTCCTAGCTAACCCCGGGCAGCAGACGGATTTTTATAAGGAGCTTTTATTTCTTTTCAGAAAGGTATAGTATTTTTGGATGTTGGTCGGACCAGTACTCAAACACCGTTGGATGGCAGTGCGCAATGCTAGGCACTCGACTATCGCCTAAGTAATGCATGCAGTAATTCAAGTTGATAAATTTTGTATATCTTTGCATGTTGACAGCTTGATGGGTTACAAAATTTACCATAAAATCCTACGAATAATGAAGGGCATAGAGTGACTTGTTGATATTTAGAATATTCGTTGAATTTCTTAATAAAACGAGAGCCTTCGCCTTTACTACCCATAAAATTGACTGCACCTAATTATTGCTAAATATAAATACATTGCTAAATACTTTTCTTGTCACCGGAATTTTTTGATAATTTCTGCTTATGTCAGTGTTTCCTCATTAAAAGTGTATGATTAACTTGCTGGAATAAATTATTTTCGCAAAGTTTGACAACCAAATCCGTACACACTTTTCCCTATTCAATCTTGTCTTCGGCCAAAAGACTCATCCCTGCAGTGACAGTCTGTCTTTTTAGCCAAAAAGTGGTTCTAACGATTTAGTACGTCATTCGAATCTGTCTGAAGTACCGGCTGAACTTTTGGGATACAGATTTTTTCCGTTTTGAGAATGTTGTCCAGGAAATTTCTTGGAGACCGCAGATCAGAAAATGATAAAGAATAAACCAGTGAACGTATAATCAATATTTATAAAAATCTTTGTCCCGTACGATTGACGGTTCCATCAACAGCCTAAACCACTGATCGTAGAGACTTGAAACTTGGATAATGGTTTGGTAATAGTTCTGCGGGAACCGATCTTTTTGATGAACTTGATTTATCGTTTGAGTTAGTAGTTTTGGTTTGCGGAAAATGGGCCTGGGCCTATAATAGTTTATGTGGTGAAAGATTTGTAATACAATAACGAAATAAATTTTCTTTGAATCATCTGAAAATTCCATTCGAATGAGGTTGTGGGCATTTTGATTACAGATGCTCGGCAAATTTGGGTGCTATGAGCGACGAACACAATGAGACGATCCATCAGGACATTTGTTTAATGGAAAGGCGTTATCAAGAGATGGAAGAAGAGCAGATTATTGTTGCCCTTGAAATTCTGAATAATCTGCTTCCTGCGGAATTATTACGGAAGCTTCATACGAGCTACAACACCATAGGACTGTATGCAACTCGATCAAATAATAAACTCTACATCACTCTCGAAAAAGGTGAGCTACATCAATTCAGTCTCCTGTTTCGACAATACTTTCTCAACAAAAACGCCAGAGAGGAAAGAGTGGGCAAATGCAACAGTTCTATATCACAGATCCGTAGCTATCTTCATCGACGGCACTAAACTAGATGGCGATGTAGGATGTGGAATTTACTCTGAACCGTTTCCTATAAAATTTAGTTAACGACTTTCCGACCACTGCAACGTATCACAAGCGGAACTAGCCGCTATAATGGGATCCGCTTCATGGTTGCTCGTTTCTAATACGTTAACCCAATAATACAATATATTCCGATATTAGGCGTAAAATCTCGCAATCAAAACTTAAATGCAGGGAAAGAGAACAAACTCTGGACTATATGCGAAATGTCCATGGCCAGAAGGAGAATAGTCTAAATCACGGTTCTCCGTACATGTCGTGGGCATACCGCTTTCCTCCGTAAGGTATCTGCTATAACTAGCCTTCGGCAGAAGGGCCAACAGATGATTGTTAAGTGAAATGAAGTGCAATGGGACAAAACCAGTAAGGTCATTAAATAATATAAATATAATTAAATCTCTACTCCTTCTAAATCGGACCTCCATAAGCATTACAACCGGCGTAATAATCGAACACTGTCCTATAGGGACTCATGGTAGAAGAATGGACTGGTTCTCAAACAACTTCTGCCGCAACTGCAGGGACATAAATAAGGAGGAATCGGTGGAAGACGACCTTTTCACTGAGCAGATCTCAACGCGTTCCGTTATCGATTCCTCGGAAGTTTCTTCTTCGATTGCCTTGCAAAGCTTGCATCGGTAGGCGTAATTAATCTCCTGAATTTCGTTAATCAAACCTAATGGATTGAATATTTGGAAACGTGGAAGAAATCTGTCAAGCAAGATAAACTTAAATATCACAACGAGCCAGTAGGTCAAAGTGCGCTTGATCAGTGTTCCGTTTCGCTCCGTTCGTGGCCTTTCCGTTACATGCTCCCACATACATTATCCGCAAGGTGCCGCAAGAGTCGTGATTACTTTTATTAATGATCTGGTGTTGAGAAATGTAGAACGTTCATTTCTGAGGAATGCGTCGGTTAATACAGTTTGAAAGGAAAAAAAGAACAACGGATGTACGAAGCAATAAGCGAGGAATTACTTATGCCAACAAAGAGTTCGTAGCTCCAATGAAGCAGCCTTCGCAAATGAAGTGAATAAATAACTGTTCCCCCTACTTATTTCCGAAAAAATACGATAAAAGAATTTTTCTTAGTAAATGAGCTATGCCCAAGAAAAGATGGCGTCCTTCTTTTTAAATTTTTATAATGAACTAAAAATATATAGAAGCGTAGTTTGGTCGTTTCATGTAAAAATGTATGAAATTGACTAATCAAGGTCTAGCAAAAAGTAATCCATTATTTTTAGATATTTGCACAAAAGACGACTTGGAACCACTTGAAAAAACTAGATACACAAAGAAGCTCGATGTATGGATGCCACACGAGTTTATGATAG